CTTGCTAGTTTCACTTTGATTTTTAAAAACTCAAGTAGGATAACTCTGTTCGCAAAAGGTGCGCTTTTGCGAAGAGGGCGCCACCGAATTTTGAGGACACTTTTTTATTGGCTCAAAGAGAGAAGTGGCCCCTCTTGTTATGTAGACTCATTGGTAAAAGTAAATCATTCGTACGTTCTAACCTGGCGAAGCGAGTACTCCACGTGTACTCGTACACTGCACTGATTAGACCCACATGGGCAGCTGTGACCTTTTCGATTTGTTTCATTTTACACTTTCTCTCACTTTTCTGATTCTCTTCTACTTACTTTTCCTTTGTACATGTATTCGTTTTCTTCGCCTACAGTTCTTTCTTCTTTAATTCATGCTAAAGTTCACTTTAAGTTGCAGTTGAAGCATTGTATGGTGAACATTCTGTTAAAAAATGAAAGCATTTAGTTAAGACTGAGTCATGCCATAGTTCAATCTGAGTTGCAATAGAATTTGCCATTGTTTACGTTACGTCATAATCAAAACATGCAAAAGTTCACGTTGTGTTACGGTTGAGATATGTGTCAGTTTATGTTGGATTAACGGGTAGTTCAAGAGCGCCAGAGTGGTAGGTCTTGCTTCTTTTCGTTCTCTCTCTCTCTCTTTTCTGTCTGTCTCTTGCTTTACCCTTCTTTAGACGATAGTTATGCGTCGATACGCTTCTCTTTACTAAACCTCACGATCACACCCAAATTATATTGAGCTACATTTGTGATCGTTATTCCATTGCCGTGGTGCATTATGAGGCAATGTTTCTATCAGCAAGATGATTGTTATTTCAGAAATTATTAGACCTCCGATTTAACGCTCATTTCCAGTAGCACGGAGCAGGGCTAAACGGTCGTTGACCTAGCATCTCTAACTCTGCGGTAATTTATACCTGTTGTGCTCTACCAGCTCAAAAATTTCAGTTCAACTTTCCAAACACGGTCACGTGCATCAAGGAGCAGCATGATGCCAATCGATGCTAAACAGCGACCCACGGCTAAAGCTGTATTCGTATGAGAGGAAATGATGCTATTGTTCGCTGTGAAGAAAAATTGTTGAAAAGGTGACAACTTTTTCGTAAGATAACCCAAGGAAGCGAACGCCTCCCCTCTCCTCCCGGGATCTGTGCTTAATGGCCAGGCTGTTCATTTTTTAAACACAGTTGACTGGAGTTCGATTTCTGCTAGGCTAGGGGACGTTTTTAAAATTGGGTCTCCATCAAAGAGGTTACAGTTTGTTTTAAAAAGCTCTTTGGTCTCCATCTGTATGCCGGACATTGAACAACGCTCTGACGGACAGGGTCGAATACCACACGGCCCGGATACTCTAAGGTATCGAATAAGCATCCCCCCCCCACCCCGCTTATTATTTTTCAGGTTTTTTGCGCA